ACTCACAGGCCCCTGCCACCACTAGCAAACCACACACACACAAGAGTGGAGGAATGCTCCAATTTCAGCCTCAAAAAAGCTTTGCTGTAATCTATAAAACACAAACTGATTTCTTCTGACTAACAGATTAAACATCAGTAATGTTCATTAGCAGTAGTCAAGATAAGTAGCTTCCTGGAGAAGTGAACTTTGTAACACATGCTCAACCATTTACAATTCTTGGAGCCTGAATGGTGATGTCAAAGAATCTCCATTCTTTTCCAATAATCATAACTTTAAAGACTATTTTATCCATTTAAAACTTTGTACGACAAGTGTAGACAAGTATATACATGAATATGTTCATAAGTGTGTGATTTATTATTGTGAAACAACAATTTATCCTTCTCGTGTTTGTACTCCATATGATTGCCCATGGGGGAAAAACGGGATCCCTAGGGTTTTTAAAATTCTATATTGGACACAAAGTCTATCAATGCTCTCATTTCAGTTTGAGTTAAGTGACCACAGAAGGGAATGTTTTACCTCAAATACAGAAGATGGAGAAGTGTTTAAAGCAATCCATGCTAAGCTATCCTCATATTATCTGTCGGTACATGCATGTATGGTTTATTCCAAACTCTGAATCCAGAGTCTAAAAATAAAAAAGGAAAAATGTACAGCTGTCTGAAAAAAATAAACTTACGCTGCTCTTGACATCTTTCAGTTTGGGAAGAATGTCTAACCCAAAGCCATCTGCCTGTCCTCGTGTCCTGTTACCTCCATTCATGTAATTTCCAAAGGCAAGGACCAAGCCTAAAACCCGCATTACTCCTGAGCCACTTTTCAGTGTCTGAAAAAAGACAAAGCAACTTCAATAGTTTAAACACTGATCAATTTAAAAAAAATTCCATTAGAAACATGTATGATGCAACTATTATTTTAAAGTATATATTCATGTTAGGACTATTGGATGAGGCTGCAATAGCGCTGCTGCTTTTACGTGTCTGAAGTGTCTCATACCTGTTGCGTCACTGAGATCTTTTACATCAGTCCTCTAACGTAGGTTATTACTATGATCCTCAACTCAACAGATCATGGGCTGAGGCTATGGCTTGTCCTCCTGTGAACTCATGGCAAAAGTGAGCATTGACCCAAAGATGTTCTGATTCGTAGCTCAGTCCCTCAGGCTCAAACTACACATGGCTCTAGCATGACTAAAACCCCGATTGTGCTGTTGGGCTATAAAAAGCAGATGCAGGGGAAGAGGAGATATGGACTGTGCCATGATGATGGGGAAAGGAGAGTCACATGCCCCCTGCACCATTTCCTTGATCACACAATACCTCCCCATTGGGTTGCTTTGAGGCCTTGTGTGGGAGGGAGGGAGGAAACAATACAGGTATCTGTATTTTTCTCTCTCCAGAAACTTTCTTGGTCAGGGAGACAGTGCAGGAGATCATAGCTCCGAGTTATGCTGCTTGTACTTCTATAAATGTTCATCCTGCCCCCACAGGGCCAGACAATAAATCTGATCTTCCAATCATGGCACTCCACAATCACATAAAGTCCAGCCATGCAGCAGCTCTATGATGTTATACATCAGTGTTCCCTCTAAGCGGAGTTAGTGTGAGCTAGCTCACAGTTTTTTGTCCTCCAACTCACACATTTTTGTCTTAGCTCAGGAAGGATGGCTCCAGAGCAAACGAATTTATGCAGTAGCCAAATCGCTCGCTCACAACTTCAATGCCAGTAGCTCACAAAGCAGAATTTTTGCTCACAAGACTCCACAGCTTAGAGGGAGCATTGTTATACATTGATATAAAAATTAAACTTTAATGAAGATTAATTACATTTGTTGATCCTCCATACTACAGTTCCATTATGTTTACAAATGAAATGAACACCAATGATACAAATACCTAGGGAATAGAGAGTGGGTTAGATCCAGTGATCCATCAATAGAAGATGCTGATGGTTGCAAATGTTCCCACTTCCTTCCACTTCCCCCAGTGGCCCCTTCCAGTTCCTAGGGTTGTGGGACCTACATTGCGCAAATAGCCACATAGGTCTATGGGCTGCAATAGAAAGAGGGAGGGAGATGAAATCGCCTTTCCTGACTCTTCCGTCAGCACAGCACCACTGATGGAAAAGACAGGAAGGAAAATTTTCACCTTCTTTCCCCACCCCACTACAGCCCAGTGACCCGCCTAGCCATTATCACTGAGAGCCAGTGTGGTATAGTGGTTAAGAGTGTCAGACTAGTATCTGGAAGACTGACATTCAAATCCCAACTCGTGCCATCGAAGCTTGCTGGGTGAACTTGGGCCAGTCACACTCTCCCAGCCTAGCATAACTCACATACCTCACAGGGTTGTTGTGAGGACAAAATGGAAGAGAGGAGAATGATGTAAACTTTGGGTCCCTGTTGGGGATAAAGGTGGGGTATAAATGCATTAAATAAATAACTACATACTAATTAAATAAACAAGTTGTGATTTCTCAAAATCCCTGCAGTCCCTGCAAAAGTGCCCCCCTTTTGGTTATATCTCATAGGGCACTGGTTTTGTGGAGGCAACGTGTGTTGCGGAAGACAGAACATGTTCCCTTTGCCAGAACTACCAGCCTGTTGCTCCTTAGATTGTCCCACTGTTGGGAGGCAAATTCTCAATATAGTGCAACAAGATAGGGAGCACTGGCCCAGTTGTCTCGGCAACAGGCACATTCCCCTCTTCCTCACTTCCAGCACTCACTGTCACACAATTGTCAAATACTATCACCTCCCTTTTGTAGTACCTTGAGAAAGAAAACTGCAGTGGGTCCCATTTTGCAGGGGGAAAGATTTCACAATCTACACCCTCATTTTGAACAAGGGGGCTTGATTTGCTCACAGTGACATCACCAAATGGCCAGACCTGATTGGCTGCATGGCACAGTGACAGTATGCCATTTATTATTTTATCTGTGATTAGCTGAGGAGCATATCACTAGCAAAAGAATCCCTAATGAAAGAAACAGTGCTTAAGCTGCAGCAAATGGGGCTCTCAGCAGGCATAAAAAGCCCACCCTGAAAGGACCCTTTTTGTCTTTAAAATGTGTGATGACACATACTGATTACACCTATAGATTTTTTTTTAACACAGAAATACAACCTTAAGGTGAGAAGCCATTTTACATCTTTGCAAGTTGTTTGACATTGTAGAGGTCACAATTTTTCAAGAACCTTTTCCAAACAGAACTAATGCTAGCTGTACTTGCAGAATCCTTAAGAAAGATCATCATTATTATACTTGTTTGAGGATGCTTTGCCATTGTTTTATAACTTATGCCAATGTCACCCAGATCACTGATACGATCAGTGGAGATTCTGCCAGAAAGGCTATTTTTTTTTAAAAAAAAATCAAGGCACATATTAACAGAGCTTTGGAAAATGCTCAAGGGAAGGCAGTGTCAGTTACACAGAGACACAATTTTGCTTTGGCACAGAAATAAGGTACATTATTCTCTAGAGGTTGATGTGCATTGGTTACAGACTTGTGATGTTATATTTCAGCACTGGAAGCCAAATCTTAAGATGGGCTTTGATCTTGAAGCACAATCATAAAATGTTCCATTCAGCAGTTTTTTCTTCTATCCTTCACATTTAATAAGTGCATAAAGTAAATAAAACTTTTGAAATATGAGTACCAATGAACAAGAAAGATTAAATATCAGCAGATCTAGTTTTCACATCAGATGGTCCAGAACCTACCTCACACAGTTTCTGAAGCAATTCAAGTTTGCAATGGATAGAGGAAATGCTTTCTGAAAATGTTGATTGGAACAGGATACAGAAAACTCGTTCTGAGAAGTTGGGAATTAGTGACAGCTCATAAAGAAATCTAAAAAAAAGTTATTGGAAAATGTTGTTATTTAGGTCTCTCACTGCATGAACTTTATAATAAGGAAGCATTCTTCCCTGTAGCAAACCAATACCACGGCCCAAAACAATACCCGCCCAGATTTGTGCTACACAGAATCCTTACTGTTCAGGCTTGTCCAATGATTTGGCATTTTCTTTTTCCTTGCTGGACTTGCCATGTTTTTCTATTTTTTCCAGTTCATCAGATTGTGCTCTCTTTAAACAGGAAACAGACATAAAGAAATTAATAAGATTGGCTTCCGGTCTGGCTAAGATGGAGGACTGAAGCGTTTCGCGATCGTGCGAAGCGAGCGACGGCCACTTTTGACAGTTTGGGCAATTCACAGCCCAACGCATCACTCCCCAGCGAGGGGGGGGGACAAGCAGGCAGCAGCGCCCTAGAGGGAGTGTGAGGTTGGCGTAATCCAGCTTCGGAAGAAGCTGAATTGGGCTTTGACCTCCTCCCACGAAGAAGGCAAGTGCCAAGCAACTCTATAGTGGCCGATCGAGCCGGATTACCGGCATAAATTCTTCGTCAGCCGACCTCTTTGAAGAAGGACAACAACTGTGAGTTAAAAGAAACAATGCGAAACCCGTTTTGAACGTGCTAGATAACAAAAACGTGCCGCTTACCTGAACTGAGTTTGGAGTCAATTTGAATTAAGCGGTTGAGCGGAAAATGAATAGTAAATCCCAGAAATCCGATTCCGGAGAGAAAAAAGTTGATTGAAGCCTTTAAAAACTGTAAAAACGCTTATTGTTTAACATTCCTGTGGTGAAGATGGAGCCGTGTGCGCAACTGTAAAATCGAAACTCACGAACAATAGCGTGGGAAGAGCAGGCTGGTGTCACAAAGAAAGAGGTCCGTGTGAAACATCCAGGAAGTTGAATTCCTAGACGGGCATTAGCGAAAGGAAGACAGTGGAACTTTTAAAGGTGCCGGACCGGAAGTGAGTTTTATGCGGAAGGAAGGGCCTGCAAAATACCAATCTGACCTACTCTACATGAAATTACCATAGAGAAGTTGCGCCCGACATTTTGAGGAGGACTTCAACTAAATTTGCTTTTTTAATATATTTCTAAGGGTCTTTGGAAAGCGTAAACAGAGAGGCATGGAGGACTAAATCTTATCATCTAGAAGAGTGCTTTATTTTGCGAATCTGTGAATTGGAAAGAAATCGCCAAGACGGAGACCAGGAGAGGCAAGAAAAGAGCCGACTCAGACCCAGAACTTAAACCGGTTGTGAGACCTAGGATTGGATCTACTTCAACCCCCAAAATGACAAGGTAAAGCGAGAAAAAAGAGATGCAGGCCTCCATGGAAGCAATGGAGAAGAGAATGACAGAGGCAATACAAGCCATGGGGGAGCAGATAGAAAAAACATTGGGGGACCAACTGGAGAAGCAAACTCAGATTCATCTGAAACATCTAGAAGAAGTCCAAGAGAAGAACATAACAGCATTGAAGGAATTGGTTACTACAGAAATAACTTCAATCAAGCAAGAAATGGAAGGAGTTAAGAAGGATGTTCAAGCAAATGCAACCAAGACTACAGAGACAGAGGAGAAGATACAAAAAATAGAAGAGAAACAAGATTCTTTGACTCAACAAATTACAAGATCAGAGACAATGATGGAGTTCAGAAGGATGCAGACTCATCTGAGATTCAGAGGCATTAAGGAAACAGAGAATGAGAACTTAAAAGAAAAAATGATGGAAGTGATAACGGCTTTTCTGGGCGAGGAGGAAGGGTCAATGGACTCAGACTTTGATTTGATTTATAGAGTGAACTCCAGAATTGCAGAAAAGAAGAATTTACCAAGGGATGTAATTGTACAATTTGTAACAAGATCAATAACAGAGGAGATATTCAAGAAGCAATTCAACGTCCCTTTTGTAATAGAGGGAAACAAAATTATGGTGATGAGAGAACTCCCAAGAACAATACTGCAAGACAGGAAAAGGTATAAATCCTTGGCGGACAAACTCAGAGCTTTGAGCATCAGATATAGATGGGAGATTCCACAAGGTTTATCCTTTACGTATCAAGGTGGGAGGATTCAGATCAGATCGATGATGGACTTTTATAAATTTAAGGCGGACAATGCGGACGTCTTTGGAGAACTTTAAAATAAAACGCATAATGGAGTACAAATTGTTGTCATGGAATGTTAATGGATTAAATTCACCAAACAAGAGGAAAAGAATCAATCATTGGATACAGAAACAGAAATGCAACGTGATATGCTTGCAAGAAACACATATTAGAAAACAGGATATAAAATATTTAAAGAATGCTTTATTTGGAATTGAATTTTGTTCTGCGGCCTCAAACAAGAAAAAAGGAGTTGTGACATATGTGAAGAAGGAGTTACAACCTACAGAAATTTTTAAGGACATAGATGGCAGATACGTGGGTGTGGAATTAATGATTCAGCAGAAAAAAACATTGTTGATCAACGTGTACGCACCCAATGGAGCAAAGGAAAAATTTTTTAAGGATATAACTGACCAATTACAACAATTGACTTATGAGCAAGTTATTATGGCCGGAGACTTTAATGGGACAATAGATCGTCTAGACAGAAAACCACAAAAGGACAACGAATTCAGCGGAAAATTGCCAAAGAATTTTTTTGAATTAGTTAAGCAAGAAAAATTAGAAGATGTTTGGAGGAAATGGAACCCGATGCAGAAAGACTTTACTTTTTATTCCAATAGACATTGCTCTTTTTCCAGAATTGATATGATTTGGATGTCTGAAGAATTATCAATGAAAACACATAAGACTGAAATTTTGCCAAGATGTAATTCAGATCACAATCCGGTGGTATGGAGTTCCACAGAAAGGAAAAAACCCTTTCTGTGGAGGATTAATGAAGACTTGTTGGATAAGAAAACGGTAATTGAGATGTTAAAGGAAGAAACGAAACAATTCTTTCAACAAAATTTAAATAAAGAAACACCGATACAGATTGTATGGGATGCTTATAAAGCGGTGATGAGAGGAATTCTCATCTCGCAAAACGTGAAGCAAAAAAAGGAAAAACTTCAAAAACAAACAGAAGTGTTAGAAAAAATTGCTCAGAAAGAAAAGGAATTAAAAAAGAAGCCTGGAAAAAAGCAAATTATTAAAGAATTAAAGTTGCTGAAGGAACAACTGAATGAGACTTGGAATCAGGAAATGTATTGGAATTTAAAGAAGTTACAACAGAAATCTTTTGAAGGGGCGAACAAACCGGGAAAATACTTAGCTTGGCAACTTAAGGCTAGAAGAGAGAGAAGAATGATAACCAAAATAATAGAAGATGGAAAAGAGTTCGTTGATCCTAATGGAATAAAGAGATGTTTCTTCAAGTATTATGCTAAACTATTCCAAACAACTAGAGTTGATCTTGAGAAGATTAAAACATATTTAAAGGAGATTCCACTACCAAAAATAAGTAAGGAATACAAAGATTTATTAAATGGTCCAATTCAAAAAGAAGAAGTGATGAAGGCAATAGAAGAGACAAAGTTGGGGAAGGCGCCTGGGCCGGACGGATTTACAGCGAAATTCTACAAAAAGATGAAAGAAGAAATTTCCCCGGTCCTGGAAGCTTTAACCAACGAAATAAGAGAAAACAAAAAGGTGCCGGACTCATGGAAAGAAGCAATTATTTCTTTGATTCCAAAGGAAGGACAAGATTCAACAAATGTAAAGAACTACAGGCCAATATCTCTTTTGAACAACGATTATAAAATCTTTGCAAAAATTATTGCAGAAAGGGTGAAAAACTATTTACAAACGGTAATTTCTGAAGATCAAGCGGGCTTTTTACCCAAAAGGCAGATTAGAGACAATGTAAGAATAGTAATGGACGCAATTGAATATTATGAAAAGCACCCAGAAAAAGAAGTAGCTTTTCTGTTTGTTGATGCAGAAAAAGCTTTTGACAATCTTAATTGGAATTTTATGCACCAGATGATGGAAAAGATTGAAGCGGGACAACATTTTAGAAATTGTATTGAAGCTATCTATTCTGAACAAAGAGCTAAAATAAATGTGAATAAAGAACTGACAGATAACTTCAAAGTACAGAAAGGAACAAGGCAAGGTTGTCCGTTATCACCGTTATTATTTATCTGGGTATTGGAAATACTTTTACAAAAAATACAGTACGATCAAGAAATAAAGGGCTTGACACATAAAGGACACCAATACAAATATCGAGCATTTGCAGACGATGTAATGTTTATGGTGGAAAACCCAACAGAAAAATTGACATTGCTTTTTCAAAAAATAAAGGAGTTTGGAGAATTGGCCGGCTTTTACGTAAATAAGAATAAAACAAAACTTATATGTAAAAACATGATCAAACAAAAACAAGTGGAACTACAAGAACTGGTACAATGTGAAGTAGTTAAAAAAACAAAATACCTTGGAATTGAATTAACGGCAAAAAATATAGACCTATATAAGAATAATTATGAGAAATTATGGACTAAGCTGACTCAAGATTTTAAGAAATGGGATAAAATGAACTTATCACTGATGGGAAGAATATCAGTTATAAAAATGAATGTCCTACCACGTTTGATGTTCCTGTTCCAAACAATACCAATTCTGCATAAAACGGATTTGTTGGCCAAGTGGCAACAAGAGTTGTCAAAATTTGTTTGGGCAGGCAAGAAACCAAGGATCAAAATGAAAATACTTTGTGATGCCAAAGAAAGAGGAGGTCTACAAATGCCAAATCTTAGACTATATTATGAAGCGGTTTGTCTAACATGGATGGATCAATGGGTGAAGCTTGAAAATGACAGATTGTTGGGGTTGGAAGGGCATGATTGTAGATTTGGCTGGCATGCATATTTATGGTATGACAAGATAAAAATGGACAGTTTTTTTAAACTTCACTTGGTGAGAAAAGCTTTGTATATGGTATGGACAAGATATAAGAAGTACCAGAGTGACTTAAGACCATTGTGGATTGTACCAGTAGAAGTGTTGATATCTTACTCAAGACAGCGAGGTAGAGACTGGTTGCCATATAGAGATTTAATTAAAAAAGAGGGAACAGAGTGGGTAATGAAAAAGCAGAATGAAATTGAATATGAATATGAGTGGTTGAAATATATGCAGATTTATGATCTTTTTAGATCTGACAAAAAAAACTATGGTTTTAGAGAGGAAAAAAATGAAATTGAAAAGGTTTGGGAGAGTGGAGGAGGA